ATTAGATCGACTGTAAAATTGACATGCAGTGGTTCACACTAAAGCAAGAACACCACCATTTTTTTCATGTGGCTACCATATCAGTGCCAGCTGCGGTCTCAAGGCTGGAGCTGAACATAAGAAACACTTTCTGATAACAAACTGTGTTTAGACTCTTCGTTCCAAACGCCCTCGTAAACTTCTCCCCAAGGCCGAGTCGGATGGCAGGTCTGGGCCCAGCGCTGGATGAATAACTGCAGGGCAGGATAGCTGTGTCTGCATTGGCTTACTTCTCACCCCTTACCCACACCTGTTGCTTGTCACGTGCTTCATGCTGTTGTGATGTGGAGATTTTTGTGCTCTTTATGCAGAGGAGATTTTTTGTTTTCTGTTCTCATGTTGTCCTGCCATAGGAGCCTGTTTTTCTGCAGGGCGACTTGCATGTGACAAATAAAGGCTTTCTTGTGTTATGTCCAAGGAAACCTTGTAAGTTGGAACAGTATTTATTTAATTTGTCTCTCATTTGTGTTACGGTCATATCTTTGGTGTATTCTGTGAGCTAAAGTAGTTCTAACTTCAGTGACATGTTAGTGGTTTAACAGGAGAATACCACATATTTTTCAGAATGTAGAATAATTTCAGTGTGTAGATGTTGATAATTGTTGAATTTATAATACAAATGTTTTAATGCGTCACTGAGCAGTGAGAAGCTGTTGGAACAGATGAGATGTTGTGGACGTTACACTCTCAAGGCAACATTAAAAAAATCTTTTAATTATTTTTCCTCTTGAATCTACACTTTTTATGAATGTGTTCATGTTTGATTGAGCTCCATTAAAATAAGTATTATTTGTCTGTGAACCAGAATGATGTAAGAAATAATAATTAAATATTAAATACACACAAATTTAGCGTTGGTCACCACCCACAAAAAAGCTTGATTTACATAGCAAATAAAAGTTGGTCTAATAACAACAAAATGTGAAGTAATCATTCAGTAGCTCTGCTGATAGCAAAGACAGATGTGTTTTAAAACTTTTTATTTTTTTGTGCAACTGAGTCATGTCAGTTTGTTGATTGTGGTTTTCTATCATCCACCAGGGGGCGCTGCAGCTCCCTCAGCATCCTCAGCCCTTTACTATGAAATCAACAGTGTTTGGCCTTTATGTCCAGAGACTGATTCAAAGTGTTTACGGACTGTAAACAGTTTATTTTCTGTTGTTGTTTTACTGCAAGCATAAAGAAACAATGTGACCTTGTGACGTTGCTTCTTGGTCACACTTTGCTCCTCGTCTCTTCTTTCCTGCTGAGTTTCATCACATTTGTCCTGATGTCATTTAACTAATCATGCTGACGTGTTTCAGTGGAGGAATAATAAACTGGAGAAGAAGCAAAAAATTTCATTATCAGTATCTGGTAAATACCCAATTAATCATTTGGTCCTTGATGAACATACTTTTACAGAAGCTCGTATGATGATATGCACTGACACACCCAGAGTCCAGCTGTACCAACAACAAACAAACACTGCCAGCTGAACCAGTCTGACCAGGATATGCAAAACGGTGGCTTTTATGAAATGTGATACTCTTCATGTGACTCACTCATTTGTACTCATTGTACAAATATCTTCAGCTGATTCTGAAGTGGTCAGGTGGGAGGTGCTGTCACAGATTTTCTGTCTGTGAGAACTTATTTACACAAACTTTGTACAGATGAAAGTAACAACACTGTTACATTCAACACTGTTGAGTAAAAGAGAAAGTAGTTACATGTGACTGCTCCTGGTCACATGATGACCCCACAGCAGTTAGTGTCCCTTATTCTGATTTACAGAGTTTTACACCCGGTGCCCTTCCTGACAGTCCAACAGTGATTTGTGTTTCCAGATGGAATCAAACCAGAAACCTTTACGTTAATCAGTACACTCTGGAGGTACAACAGTATATTTTAGAATAATTCCTTTGACATTTTCTGTAATGTGTGTGTTTAATATTAACTGTTCTTCTTTTATTTATGTTCTCTTATTAGTGTCTATATTTGTTGTATACAAAAACACCCTTGACTTTTATTATTATCATTTTGTCATGAGACCCTTCATTCATCATTTATCTCAACTCTAAACACACAGACAGCCTACAAAGTCTATACATCCACCTGTGCCAGAGAATTAACTTCCTGTTGCTTTCTCCCCTCTGCTACTGTGTGTGTTTGTGGTATTTGTTTGTCAAATACATGGCTCAGATCCAGTCAGCTCCGGGAATGCTATGAAGTCAAACTGGTCTAAGGTGTGTCGTATTAAACAGCTGACAAGGAAATACGGGTTAGATTGTTCACTGGGGCTGTTTAGTGCAGCCAGAGACCAAATCACTATCGTCAAAGTTTGTTTCCTTTCTTTTTTCTATTTGCTCTCAGTGGATAATTTTTCCATCCTGATGATCAGAAGAATGTTTGAGGGTTTCAGAGATCCTTCAGAACAACAGTAAGTGTTTAAAATGACGTCTTTCAGTCTTTTAGATAATCTGACAGGTTGACTGAAGTCTGTGAGCTTCACTGGATTAAAAGATTGTCCATGTTAATCCATCTGAACTGGATTAAAGCTTCACTTTCCTGGTTACAGATGAATGTCATGTGGAGTTAGTGTAAAGCATCTGATTTACTGTTGGCTGGTTTCATCTGTGAAATCACATCATATGAAATTATTTCAATGTGTTTTAATTCAAAGCTGTCAGACTTTATCTGACACAATATAAAGAAGAAAATCAACTCAATCACAAACAGGAAATGTAGCGAGAGCACTATTTGTGTTGGAGATTCTGACATGATCCCTGATTTAGCTCCTGGAATTTTGAGTTGCCTTGGAGATTTCTCTTTCAGTCTTTTCTGTTTGGTTTCTGTTTTTGATTTTTATTTGGCTCAATTTTAATTGCTTTATTGTTCTAATAGTGGGGTGTATTTCTGACAATATTGAGTGTTTGTTCCTTTGTAGTTTTCATAGGACTGAGTTTCAGGTTTTCTACTCCACGTTTGGCTTCCAGTTTAACTTTATTGTTGCTGTTTTTATGGTGACTTTCTGCTTTCTGTTTTGTTTGTCTTTAGTAGACAATGTTTTAAATGTTTTAATTTTGTATTTGTTGTTTGGTTGAGGTGTAAAACAGACTATATGGAAAGCTACTGCTCACCAATTAAAGGAATGCTCATTTGCTGCTGCTATGGAAATTTTAACAATAACCTGCAACACACCCAGTGAGCTTGATTTGAAGTGGGTTTAATAAACACATTGCAATGTGGAGAAAACATTCAGGTCAAACACCAAACAGTTTCCGAAGAAAAAAAACCCCCAAGAAAAAGTTTAAAACCTCCCAAAAAACGGCAAAAAAAAAAAAATCCAAAACAAAACAATTAACCCCAAAACCTTAAGCCAAACCAACCCTGAAACCCCCCCCAATCCAAGGAAAGTCATGACCTCCCGTCACCTCCCTACAAGCAGGATGCCTGTAGACCTTCAACTTCATAACTGGGCCCCTACCTAAACATCCGCATCCCTCGATATGCAAAAGTCTCACTATCTATTTAATGTCTCCCTTACAATGGTCTCACTGTGTGTGCAGAGCACAAGGCCTCTCTGTAGTGAACATGCATACAACTAAGTGAGAAAGTGAAATTACTATAACTAATGTGATATGATTAAATATGTGATTAATACACAGGAAAAGAAATCTGCCACCACACTGCAGAGCTTACTCCACTCTCCAGGTTTTGGTCATAGGTAAGAACGTTTTCCCAGGATAGTTTTCAAAATTTGAAGCTGATTTGGGTTCAAACGGTCACTTTTCTCATATGTGTCTATTTTCTTTCTGCAGCCCCTGTTTGATACACCCATGTGACTGATGTTGATTTGTCACATGAGGCTATCATGTGAATTTCTAGCTAATGTCAAGCCAGATCATCTTTGGGCTGCAATTTGTTGCTTTCCTCCCAGCTGATGCTGCCAAAACATTTATAGACGTGTCTGCATTTCTGTCATTCCTGTCACGTGTTCGTGCTAAAAAGTCAATCAAGTTAAAATTGCAGTAATTAAGGATCTATCCAGCTCTACTGTAGAGTAACCTTAGTTTTGTTTTTTTCAGTGATGGATCTGATCCTATGACATCTGGGATTGGCTCTGCCTGCGACCCTGATAAGGATAGACTGAAGAGAATGGATGGATGGAAGTGACAGGTAATTTCAAAGTAAATGTTTCAAACATCTCAACAAATATCAGAAAACATTGTTTCTGATCCATCAGGGATGGACTGTTTCTCATGAAGCGAAACTCAGTGAGAAAAGATGTAAGAAAGAGAACAGGACAGATTAACGATTATTCTTCTCGAAACTAAGGACTGCTTAAGCATTGCTGTTTAATAAACTAGTGCTATGTTACTTTTCATTACTTTTTCAATATATTCAAATTTTAAAAAATGGACCAAGCGATCAGATAACCAAACTCTCAGTGAAAGCTAGCCTAGTCTTAGCTCAGCTTTCATATCGGAGTGTTTGGATTTTATCGAATTTTATCTGCAGTTCACTGAGATATCAAAGTTTCTCTGTGACTTTCAGAAGTTAAACCCCAGTTCCCCATCATCAGATCAGTAAATAAAAACCCAATAATACGAATCTCTGGAACCCAAATCAACCTCACATGACTGCGTCACATAGCAATTTTTCTGCAGTTTTCTCCTGAACGGCAGGCGTCACCACTTAGATAAAAACTCTGCATCAGCTCTTTTATTCCAGTAGAAAAAGTGAAGACAGGAAGTAGAGAACTCAGTTTTTTGTTTTTGCCTTCGTTTCTTTTAATTTCTTTCTCGTCTCGATCAGTTGCAGCCTCGCCATGATTATAATATATTATAAAATATAGATATAATTGAAAACTATTCAAAAAAAAAAAAAAAAAAAACAACAGAAATTATCGTACACCCTGTCTCCAAGACACGGATGTGACGTCCGCTAATGTTTGGATGGAAGTTTTAGCTAGCTAGGCTACGGAAATGTGTCGCCGAACATCTTTTTTGTTTTTCTCCACTTTGCTGTTTGTCGGTCTCTTCGTGTTTGTATCTGCAGGTGAGATTTAACTATGACAACCCAAAATCACTTTCGCTCTCACATAAAAACTAAGATGAGCGTGAACTATTTTTATGTAACCCGGTAACGAGTTACAGTACGAAATTCAGCTTTCAAATACCACCCGTGAAAATCCCCAATAATCCTGTATTCACCATCCAAGATGGCAGCAGTGCCTGTAAACATTAGTAAAAGCTTGAAATTTAAAATCTTGTTACGCTTATTTAACCTCAGAGGTCTGATGGAGGTCGTGCTGTGACGTCACTCCTGAGCTAACTACCTTCCAGTACGAGTCAGAAAAGAAAAGAAAAAACTATTTATGTTGCTTCTAGCTAAGTGGAGTCCGTGGATGTGGATGGACACCAACGATCTGTTACATGCTGGAGATCTCACTGATTTGTTATTCTGTTATTTGTTCTTCTATGTGTAGCTAGCCATACAGCACAATGCTAACACAATAGCACAAAAGTGAAAGTACAGATTACACGTTTTGGGTTTGATACTGTTTGTGTGCACTGCCTCATTTTGTACTTCTATTTGAAAGTAATTCTGACTAAGAAGCAGAAATTGCTGACTTCCCATTTCGGATGGAAGAAGCTACTGATCTGCACTGCTACTGTTTGTGAATTGTTAAATACGCTGCACTCTGAGAACTTGGTCTTGTACTGCAGAGTTCAACATATAGAGGGCAGTGTTGCCAACTCCTCAGTACTGAAATTTGCTATTGGTTGTCCTTTTTTTTAAAATTATTAAACTTTATTAAGAAACAGTATACAGAACATGTATACGCTATTGGTTGTCCTAAAAGTCGCTAAATCACCTAATTTGCATAATTGGTCATGCTAATGTAATCGTAACCTACGTTGTTGGAGACAGAAATAACATCATGGAAGAGACATAAAGTGAGTAAAAAACGTCCAAAAGGCAGTTAGAATTATTTAACTACAAATTACATTTATTTTAGCAATTATTGTGTTTTTTAATGTCACAATTCCAACCCTGCTACCGGCAACAGTGACCCGAAATTGGCACTCTGGGGGAGTTACTCTGTGTGTGTGTGTGTTTGTTAGTTATAAGTTGGCAACACTGATAAAGGGTGTCTTTAAGTTATCTAGATTCATGTACCCAAATACTGTTGATCAGATAGACAAGTAGCATTTTCTTGTGTGGTCATGAAACAGTCGCCAAAAACTACACAAGGATTCACTTACATGTTCACATGAAACAGATGTGTTGGCAACATCAAAACAGTCACAGTGATTAGTGTAACAGCAGCTGATTGTGCAAAGGAAGGATAAACTATACAAGGCTATTAAAAATATGTAAAGGTATACATTAAATCTGCTGTAGATAATTAGCAGATGTAGAGAAAAGGCTCTGTACTGTAGGTCAGTGTAAAACATGCTGTATAAATGTGTGCACGTTTTGCTCAGTGAGACTGCAGAAGAGCTGTTAATAAAATGTATCCTATTTAAAGGAAGGAAGAAAAGCTCACAAACACTTATTGTGTGAGTTTTAATTCCACAGTTTTATCAGTAAGACACATGAATATGATGGATTATAGTTGAGGCTGGTCTGCTACCTGGATGCTTCTCTGTTCGGTTATTGAAGGAATCAGAATAAGATGTTGGACGTCTATTGACCCTAAAGGACACCATCCCCTCAAAAATAGCAACAGTTGTGTCTAAGACTTTATATTGATGATAATGCTGGACGATTGCTCAGTCAGTAAGTGGGTCTTTCATAGCTGTTTAACTACAAATCTGTTGTACAGAAAACCCCAAATTAACCCTGAAGTTACCAGAGCATGAGGAAATCTAGATTCTTTGTACTGAACATGCCTCGTTTTTCAGTGTTGTCTGTAACTCTCCAGAGCTTTACAAATGAACCACAACTCAAGTTCTTGTGTGTGGTTGCACAAATGTGCATGTGATTAATATCCTTCAGTGTTTAATCACGACAGCTCTGCTCAGCAGGTGGTGGCATCACCTCTGAATAGAGGCAGCTGCAGCAGCAAAGCAGTGGCATCTGTAGGTGCCACTCTAATACTGCTTTTATGCTAAGGTGAGGTAATATGAAGGCAGACGGACGGCTCATCTACCTGCACAGTGTTTGATGTTGATGGAGGCAGTGTATGTGGTACAACCGGTCTGTAGGTAGGTAACAAAGTGAAACATCTTTCTATTATAAGAACTTTTAAATCACTGTCAGTAAAAAATGAGGTTCGACACAAGTGACCTTCACTCTCATTGCTTGGTGTAGAACTGAGTTGTTGTTTTTTGACCTTTAACCTCTCTGCTCTGTGTTGGTTCTTGTTTCAGATCAGAAAATCATCCCAGCTGAACCTGGACAAAAGAACGTCACTTTGCCATGTCGAGCTCCAAACAATAACAACATTATTGTTCTAGACTGGAGCAGAGCTGACCTGGGAGAGAAATATGTGCTTTTGTTCCGCGATGAGCTGTTTGATCCAGAAAACCAGTATCCATCTTTTAAGAACCGGGTGGAGCTGCAGGACAGACAGATGAAGAATGGAGACGTGTCTTTGATTCTGAAGGATGTGACGAGTAATGACACTGGAACATACGAGTGTCGTGTCGTCCAGAGAGGAGCAAAGCGCAGGAAGAGATCTGTTTTGAAAAATCCCCCCATCAGCATCGTCACCCTAAAAGTTGTTCCTCCAGGTGAGTGAGTAGAGTTGAGTGTGTGTGTGATCAGAGGTGAAGCTGCTTCCTGGTTGTTGATGTTTGTTTCTAAAGAGGTTGATGATGAGACTTTGTAGAAAGCAGCTGGTCTGAGTGATGTGATCAGAGTGCAGTAGATAATGTCTGACAGCAGTTTGAAGAGGAAATGGATTCTGTTCTGTTCTTCACTCATCACCTACCTGACAGCTGACACCTCACACCTGTTTCTCACCTGCAGGTCAGACAGGAGGAGACACAGAGGATGGATCTGTTGTACTGATCGTCGGTCTGATTCTTTCTGCTGTGCTTCTTGTTGCTGCTGTTGGGTTTTTGATCTACAGAAAACATAAACAACAACAGAGTCAGGATTCATACTAGCCTCCTGTTAAATTTCAGCCTGTTTGAAATGTCAGCTTAACAGTGATTCTTGTGCTTTGCTTTCAGTCGTGTCACTGAAAATGTGGAAAGACAGAAATCAGTAATATTAAACATTTAGCAGGTACCTGTCAGACACGTCCAGATTTTGCATTTAATTTACATTTTTCATCAGAAAAGAGGAGAAAGTTGTTTGGAATATAAACAGTATTTTCTGATATTACTCAGGATCCTTTGATCACATGTTGCTGGTGTTTGACTCATTTTAAATGTAATTATATTAAAATGAAACCAAAGAAAAAAAAACATTTCTATGTAGCTGCAGAGTCCAACATTTCCTCCCTTTGACCTGGAATGATTCAGCTTTATTGAACTTTACCTTCCATGAAGGAGACACTTCAGTCTGTTACTGTCCACCTGTTACTTTCCTTTACCTGACAAAGATCCACATGTGTTAGTACTTAATGTGTGTTTTGTTTTTTTGTTTGTTTTATTCCAACATTTCCTGTGGTTGTACTTTGTTTTTGTTTTTTGTTTTTTTAATCAGAAGCTCTGACTTCCTGGAACTGTTGATGCAGATTTTGTCACCTTGAATCAATCCAAAATAAATATAACCATGTGTAAACTGTTTCTGCTTCTCATAATTACAGAACTGCCTCTCAGAGGTAGATTCTGATAATATATCAGAATCGTTGGACAACTGGTCAAATACATTATTCTTCCTCCCTATTACATTGATAAAACAGCCTGTTTTTGATCAACTACCTATACAGTGCAGGCTAACCTGGATGTTAGGAGCTCACAATATGACCTCAAATTTAACTAGTTCTAAAAAGGAGTCCGGCTACTTCACCAGACACAACATAGACACAGTAGTCCTGATGCTCAGTCAAGGGTGATTCTGTTCATCTGGACATTTTCAGTGGGAGAAACGTTTTGTCACTCATCCAAGTGACTTTTTCAGTCTCAGCTGAGTCAGAAATCAGGAAGAGCGTTTATTGCCAAATGTTGAGCAGATCTACAACATTAGGAAATTGCTATGGCACTTTGTGCAAACATACGATAAAACAGACACTTGAATAAAATGAAAATATGTGAAACAGATTAAGATGAGTATATTTAAATATATATATATATATATATGACAGTCTCGGTGTCCGGCAGCCTTGTCTCTGTCAGTGTGCCCTCTTGCAAGTGTTTTGTCTCTAGGGGCCACTGTACTTAGGGACTAGTAAAGTGCTATACAAGTCCAGGCCATTTACTATTCATATGTATGTATATACAGTGTGATGCAAAATGTTACAATAAAAAATGTCAGTTAAATATATCATATAGGAGACACACACAGTGATATTTGAGAAGTGACATTTTTTATTGTGACAACCAATGATTTATACAGGAAAATAATATAATAAACAAGAAAATAATGACAATTAACTAATTAGTTGCCCAAACTTTTGCATCCCATACATATAAATGGTAAATGACCTGGACTTATATAGCGCTTTACTAGTCCCTAAGGACCCCAAAGCGCTTCACACTACATTGCCAAAGGAGGATTGCCAGGATTTATGCTATGTAATGTACTGTTTATTAGATTGTGGAAACCTGCAGTCAGCTGAGGGTGAATGCGTCACTTGGATGAGTGACGAAAGGTTTCCCCCACTGAAAACGCTACGTCCAGATGAACAGAATCAAATTTAGGGATAAACATGTCAGGTCAACCGGCGAGGACTCAATCAATCAGTCAATCAGTCAATCCTGACTGTGCACCATGACAGAACAGTTACCTGTTCCGTTATGGTGCACAGTCTGTATTGAGTCAAAATGAATAAATAATAATTAAATTTAAAAAATCATAATGGAAGGCCAAAACAAAAACATAAAATGTTTTTGACTCCTTTTTAACATTGTCATCAGAAATGATACAAAAACCAAGTAGTTTACAGAGTCTTTCTTTCTCATGGTTTGGGCTTTTCAGCTGTGGCCACACGCTTCATACTTCAAACTCAGTTGTGTTGAAACCTCACTTTGATGACCTGCTTGTATCCATGTTAGTATTTAAAGTCCAACATCTCCCTCTAGTGGCCATATATAAACCATGTGTGAGGATGGTGTTAATGTAACATGTGAATCATAGTGTTCCAGTCAGTCATCAGTGTGTCTCTGCACAGCTGTAATTAAAATGTGTTCAGAGGGCCTCAGTGTCTGAATGGTTCCAGTTCAGCTCCATAACAGCAGCGTCCCTGGTTTGATTCCTGTGTTTCAGCTCATATCTGCCTCTCTCACTGAGGGGGACGTAACTACATGGAAATGGATTTGTTCATCAACCAAACTACAGATCACTGAGAGCAGAGGACATCTGACTTATTTCCGATTATTCTATCCAGCTGTGTAAATTGCCAAATGTCTGAGGAAAGACTGTTTATAATGGAGCACTGTAACAAAAAAATAATTTCCCCCAGGGATCATTAAAGTATTCTGATCTGATTGAAGCTCATTGCATTAAAAGACACATGTTTATAGTTTGTATCTTGCATTTTTGATAAGAATTTAGTTACCCACTGTGTTTGAACCAATAGAAAGCTGGTGCTCAGAGGAAGAGGGCGGGCTTTACTTGGTGTCAGTGAGAGAAATGAAAAAAAAGCTCAAATGAGTGAGAAGGACGATGAAGGAAACATCTGTGCTGTGTCTGCTCTGTAAGTAGAATCTCTGTGTTTGTTTGAATTCTTGTACTTTGACTGTCTGCTCTCCTGATAAGTGATGATGGAGGAGAAGACATGAAAAACAAATCAGGCTGAATTCAAGTTCAAAACACCACGAGGACCAACTGCAGGTCTGAACTGACTCTTTATCTTTGCTCAGGAGTCGAGGAAACACAGCAGGCAGTGAAAAGATCAAATTGAAATGAAAGCCTTTATTGTCATTATCCTCTGTATAACAAGATTTTAAAAAAGCTCCATAAAAGTGCACATGTACTTAACACATTATAAAAAATATGCAATAATATGGTAAAATGGTAAATGCCCTGTATTTGTATAGCGCTTTACTAGTCCCTAAGGACCCCAAAGTGCTTTACACATCCAGTCATCCACACATTCACACACTGGTGATGGCAGCTACATTGTAGCCACAACCACCCTGGGGCACACTGACAGAGGCGAGGCTGCTGGACACTAGCGCCACCGCATCCTCTGACCACCACCAGTAGGCAACGGGTGAAGTGTCGTGCCCAAGGACACAACGACCGAGACTGTCCGAGCCGGGGCTCAAACCGGCAATCTTCCAATTACAAGGCGAACTCCCAACTCTTGAGCCACGATCAACAATAATATAACTATACAAATAATATAAATACAAATACACAGCACCGGTGACACAGCCAGCCAGAGAATTATGACACAGACAATTTGAGCACAATTTGTAGTGCAAATTACTTTTGTGCAAGTTTGAGCTTTGGGGAAGAAGCTATATCTGAGTCTGTTTGCTCTAGCCTGTATGGATCTGATCTGCCACAGGGCAGTAGGTTAAAAAGATGGTTGTATACTTGAAGATGTTTCTGGCCCTGCTGAGACAACGGGAGTTATAGATGGCAGACAAGAAGGGAAGGGGCAGCCAATGGTTTTTCTTGCTGTGTTTACCACCGTCTGCAGTCTCTTCCTGTCTGCCTTCATGCAGCTAGCTTGCCACACTGCCACTGCATAAGTCAGCAGGCTCTCGGTGGTGCATCTGTAGACAGTCACCAGCAGTGGGGAGCTTAGTTGCTCCTTCCTGAGCACCCTTAGAAAGTGTAGTCGGTGCTAGGCCTTCTTAACCAGCGCTGTGGTGTTAAATTTTAAGGATTTCACTCGCTCTACACATTCACCGTTGATGGGCAGGGGGGCAGGGGCATTTCTGTTTTGCCTGAAGTCAAGGATGATGTTAGGGTCAAATTAATTAATGTTGTCAGTTCTTGCACATGCATAGACATGCATACACATGCACAATGCCTCGTCTTTTGTAACCATTGATTAGGGGGCTTAGGGTTAGGGTTAGGGTTGGGGGGGTTACGGTGGGAGGTGCTTGTGTTGTATTGTGTATTGTAACAGTTTACAACAGCAGCGAGGAGAGCTGCTCTTTGAAGGACTTCAGCTGGAGACAGGTGAGGAGTATTAAGCTCCACTGCCTGGTTCTGACCAAGCCGTCCCTCGTTAGCGAGTAAAAGACCGGTTGAAGATGTTCTGTCTTGGTTTCATATTTTGTGAGGAATAAGTCTCTAAACTAGCGGGGTCCGTGGAAACACAGACTCAACAGATGAGTTCCTTGGTCTTGGAGATGTTAAATGAGAGGTTGTTTAATGCACACTATTCTCCAAGTTTCAGGACCTAATCTCTGTAAGCCGCTTCATTTCCCCTGTGATCTGCCCCACCACCGTTGCGTCATTGGCAAATTTGTCAATGATGTTCTCTGGGAGAGTGGGACTGCAGCCAGATGTGTAGAGGGAGTAGAGTAGTGTCCTTAGTACACAACCCTGGGGAGAGCTGATGCTGAGAGTGCGAGGGGAAGAGAGGTCAGGATCCAGATTCACTCGCTGGGATCGGTTGACCAAAAAAGTGGCGGGAGCCACCCCTTGCTCTTGGATAGAGGATGTACAAATTAGTCTTTCAGTCGTTCACTCATTATGTGGACACAGCTCTATAGTGAAAACATGGGTTTACTGTGGTATTTAAAAGTTGTAGTACTGACCTGTACTGACTATAACAGGTCTGATAAACTTGAGCTCTACTGTGACCCCGAAGTCGATAATTCTGCAAAAGAAGAGAACACAACATGTTGTTGTAGAAAATCAGAAAAGTGAGTTTGTGTGTTTGTCAGCTGTTTGTGTGGAGTTGTTCTTTATGTTCACCTCAAATCAACCTGAGTATCATTTCTCTTTAGTTCTGATCTCACTGCTGAGCTGCACAACAAACCAAGGTCAGTAACCTTCTTCTGTCACAGTTTAAACCTGAGAAATGCTCAATGATATGACCTGATTGGGGTCATGTTGGTAGATATCAAATATAAAAGTGCTGAAATGAAAAAATGTAAGAAAATATTCACAGATGATCAGAAATGGGCAGTAACGTGGATTACAGTACCTCAGACTGTAATCTGAATACTTTTTTCAAGTAACGAGTAAAGTAAGGGATTACTATTGCAAAAAATATAATTAGATTACTGTCACTTTCCCGTAAGCACACTGCGTTACTGCGTTAATAAAACCGTGATTTTTTTTGCAAGAGTGTCTTATGACAGTGACGTAAGCGAGTGCGACGTTCGGATCAACAGCTGTGTGCAGATCAACAATGGATAATATATCGAGTGCGGGAGAGAGTTTGAGCATGCAGCGTTTAAAACGTGGAAGTACTGACCTTACTTCTCTCCCATCGCTCTCCTCCTGCTTCTGCTTCTCTCCACCCCAGGGAAAAGGGTAACACCACCTGGGTCTGGGTGCAGTTTCCTCCTCCAGGGGCAAGGGTACCTAGACCTGGGGCTTAGAGTGTGATTGTGTGTACAGTGTCTCTCTATGTCTGTCTCCACGTTGGTTGAGTGTTGAGTAATTGCATATGAGAGCATGAGGGTGGGAATGGATGTTTGTATCTGTGT